ATATATAAATTATTCCCAGTTCGACACACACTTGCATTCTTTTTTTGGATTGTATGAGAACGGGGGTAACGACAGAGAAACAAAATACAATAGTATAGCGATAGTACCAACCATCGTTTCTTCGTGCCGAGTAGATAATTTATTCTGAGACATAGATCGGAGATTCTCAAGGGAGAAGAAAAAATAGTCTCTCGTTTGACGCATTAGAACATAGAACTCTTCTGATAATAATTCACCACACACATATATATTCTTTGTTCCTACAACGTATATTCGAATCTTAAAATCAAGAAAGAATGGTAAATGATATTTAGATAAATTAACTAAATTACTATTTCATTTCATTTAGACTGATCAAGCAAATGATTTTTGGAATGAAAAAATGAAACATTTATTTCATCTATATGGTATTTAGTGAAATAATACTAGATAATTTTCTTATATATTGACATTTTAGATGCTGATGGTGATGGTTCAATAACTCCACGTGATTTTGAAATACTTGCTGATAAATTATCATCACTTGTTGGGCAAGAAGATGTCAAAAGACGTGAAGATTATGCTGCTGCACGAAAAAGTCTTTGTCAAGAAATAATGAGAGCTGATGCTAATCAAGATGGAAAAGTTACATTAGGTATATTTTTAGAGAGAAAATCCTTGAAAAACTATATGTCTTTATCTATTTTTAGAAGAATGGCTCGATTTTCATAAACATCTTGCAAAGGAATTACATAAACCTGATACAAATCCGGAAATTTTAGAACAATTATCTGAACGTATAAATACAACATTTAATATGCTTGATTTAAATCATGATGGTTATATAGCTAAAGATGAATGGGTTAAAACATGTCAATTTTTTGGTGTTGATCAAACAACAGCAGAAAAATCTTTTGAACAATTAAGTAAAGGTGACAAATTAGAAGAAGATAAAGCAAAACATTTATTTTTTGAATATCTTAAATCGGATGATCCGAATCATATATCGAATTGTTGTTTATGTTTTCTTTAAATTATAATTAAAAATTATTTATTCTAAATTCAGTATATCGATGTTGTTAATGTACTCTTGTAATTATGTTGTCTTTTTCTTTTTTTTATCCTTGGGTTTTCGTACAGGTCCATATTTATAAACCGTACAAGCAATAACAATTGATATATTAAGTATTAAACTAATGAATAAATTTAGAACCATACTCATATCTCGAGTTTCAACAAGATTTGTAATTATACGAGCTAAAATAGATGTATAAAATAAATAAAATAGGGATAATTATTAATATCATACCAAAATTGTTATAACAAGCGATCATCCATCCAGGTCGACTGACTTGACCAGCACTTTTATTAGAAAGAATAGTTCGAAGTTGAACTATTTTTGACGAAGCACTGATTGGAATAACAAGCATCTATTGAATAAATGAAAAAGTATTCTATTCATTATTTAAAACCTGAGTTTTCTTACTGTACAAATACGCATCCATGCCGATGGTATAAGACCTACGATACCCAAGAATAGATACACGGAAAATCTATTCAAATTAGAATTTTCTATACATTTATAGTTAAACCATTATATTCTTACGCTAATATTCCATACAATGGAGTCGATCGATCATTTAATTTTCCTTTTTCTTTTGTTTCTTTTGTTGAATATTTTGATAATGCCCATAAAAGAAGTAAATCTATCTTGTTTTAATCGAAATAGAAAACAAATTCTTTGAATTCTTTTTGTTTACCTTGAATAAAAAGAAATATATATTCAAAGAATGTTGATAATGGATAATTTCGCCATAGGTTATAAGTTAAAACCAATGTATAACTAAATAAAATGGTATATAGAAATTTTTACGAGGTATTTGTTTTCTTACGCTGTTTCTTCAAGTAAAACAGATGATAATGATACACTTTCAACATTTTTTGTTTTATAAATACGATAAATTTGTGGTACTTTCTGTATTAAACATAGAATATTAACGGATAAACTAAGTAATTGTAGAACCATTTTGTATGGCTTAAAAAATCAAATAACTATACGATAGTCTTCCTTTTTTTTCTTTAGTTTAAATTTTATCAGATTTTTATCTTGAGAATATTTCCACCTGAAGATTGATTCCTTTTTTTCTCTATACTGTTAATTGTTTTTAATAAGAAACTGATATATGCAAATCGTCTTTTTGGGTAGTTCGTTAAATTCTTTCGCTAATCTCTTGTCAATCAGATAACATTGCTTGATAGTGGGTATTTATTCCTTTCATAATTTGCGTTTTTCATCAAGGTCATTTAGCCTATATAATACTAGAAAAATACGAAGAGATCATAATTAGAACTATTATGATTATAAAACTTGTGTGTTTAGTTTTATTTTAATGCTAAATAAAATAATATTAATAGTAGGGTGTTTACTATAATATGTAAAGTATTATTTTATTTACAAATGGGTTTTTCCTACGAACAATGACTAGGTTTTATTATGTGATAATCGGATTTTATCCGAATCATTGCTCATTTTGCACTGAAATATTTTTTTTAAATGAACTATTGTTCGAGAAATAAACCAAACAAGAACAGAGAATCAAAATGATTGGCTCAATTGTGTTGTTCGCTTATGTGGAATATATATATATAGGTTCTATCAATTTATATAAGAAGTATTTTCAAGAACAATAGAAATTATTTGTGATAATTAAAATATCTTTTCATTCAGATCAGTAAGTACAATGAACAAATCGTTGATGTCTACATAAAGAAATGTACTAGATCTTTTTGTATTTCCGTGCTTGAACTGGCAGACAAACCGGAAGGATATCGTCAATAAACTAAAATTATTGAGTAAACAAAATTTGTATGTCTGATGATTTAGCTCTTATTATTATCTCATAGACAGTTTAAACTCGCCTCCACAGTCAAATATTCAATCGTAAGTCATACTTTATCTTTTATAAGAAATATTGAGCTACAAATGTATTTTTTCTCGATATATATTCTTATTCTTATAATTAATCATGAATTTTAAATTATCTTTCAGTTATCGAATTTATTTTGATTGTGATTGATTTGATAAACTTCTCTAGAAAATTGCAATCACGATATAGGAATACTTTTCTATATTGTTTTTGCAATTCGAGAAAAATTAATCATAAATAGATTGGTTAATAGTTGATTATATTTTCTTTCATAGAAGGAAATGAAAACAAAAATAAGGAAGTTTAGATTATAATTTATTTTTAATAAATCTCTTGTCAAAATTTGTATTTAATATAAACACTTAACAAAATATCCAAAAAACTTTTTGCTTCAATATTATGTTTTGTGTTCTACGAGAGTAGTTTTTCTGTTGAAAATACAACTAATGTGCAGTAAGTATCATTGAAGATATCGGATAAATAGATGCAAATGCATAATTTTAGTCTATATAGAATAAACACAGACGAACAATGTTTCGTCTCATTGCTGATCTATAATGTGTAACGAAAGACCTTTATGATATATATATATATATATATATTGTGTGTGGTTTTATTTCACATCTGCTAAACAGTTATTATATTTGTATGCCATTCTTGAGCTTGACAAGTTCTGTTTTTAGTCAATTTTCGTTGCAGATGGATATACTGATCAATAGTGGAACAATACAGTAGGACTTCAAGTTAAAAGTAGTAGTGAGTATAACTAGAAATTTCGTATCGTTCCTATCCGAACGTGGGTGGAAATGGAGAAAAAAGTCATTCTTGTAAAACTCGGATCAAGTCAGTTCAACTCGTAATCTGATACGTTTTCCTGAAGGTACATGAACCATAAGATAATGACTAATGCTGCGAAATATAAAACTAAGAAGTGACAAAAGTATTATTAATTAAAAATCTTTAATTATAATCTCAAGTAATCAATCCTTTTCATAATATATATGCAATGCTATACGATACGACAAAGTAATATATATTCTTCTCTCATTTAAAATTTCCTACGCATATAGATAATATCATAGTAATTTTCAATTTTACAAATCAGTGCCTTTTTTTTAGAGAACTATTCGTTTCCGAAATATAAATAATAAGCATGACTTTTACTTTGTTCTTCTCTTGTGAATATTCTGATTTCTTTATAGACCTTTACATCGGAAGTAACTATCCCACGTTTTTCTATATAACGCTTGATTACATTAATTTTAGATATAAACTACATGAATTACCCGCCATATAAATTATTACAAATGAATAATTATTGTATGATATTATAACTGGTTTAAAAATTAATTCACATCAATAAGTTTAACAACATGAATTTCATCCGATAAAGAAAACAAAACGGAAGAAGAAGAAGAAGAAGAAGAAAAAAAGAATAAAATCTACAATATAGACAACCTGATCATTATAATCAGTTCATTCTATAGTTTGGCAGCTCTTTACTCTACTTCCGTTTAACTGACTATGTTTATTTGCCAGTTTCTCTTCTTTCTTTTCTTACTTAATAAATACTCTTTTTATACTCGTCATTTTACCATTGTCGAATATTAGAATATAAAAAAAAATTCTTTCGTTTTTCTTTAGATACCTACACTTCTATACAACAAGTAAAATTCATCAAACAATGATTTCTCTTATTAATTTAATCAAATGCATTATCTTAGTTACATGTAAGATTCTAGAATAAAATCTCGTATATTATTTTAATCTTTTTCTAAATAGTATTCATAAGCTGTCAAATTCAAGCATCAACATTTAACAATGATGAAAGTGAAATGGTAGATCTTGATTCTATTCGTGAGTTTATACCAAGTTCACAAGATCAATTTTATCATCAACAATATCGACGAGCCTCATTACGTTATCATCCACATATTCTTTATAAAAAAGCCAGTCTTAAACCGATACTTGGTCAAAGTGGAAAAATTGTATTGAGCGAACGAGATCGTTATTAAAGATCTTGTTATTTCATGATCAATTAGTTGACATATGTCTGATTTTTTTTGTCCTAAATATGTGGTTTTTCAAAATCTTTAATAACTACAATAAATATTGAGAATGAAAGAAAACCCTATCGATTTGTTTTTTTTAATCTTCTTCATTTATATAAAGCGAAGTATGAACTTTAGAATAGACATGAAAATTTATTCTAAATAAGACAAAATATTTAATTGAATACAAGATCGTCTACCACGTAATCGATTATAAGAAAAACACGTTTTTAATTTGATATAGTATTGACTTAACTATTGTTATAGATAATACTTTACTCAAAATAAGAAAAAAGAATTTCAATGGTGTAATATTCTAATGCTATAAACATCAACTTAGTTTGAATGAAAATATATATATTGATTAAAATTCAAATACGAAATGAAGGAATGTCATATTTATTTAATAAGAAATACAAATACAGAAAACAATATTAGGAAATTCAATTATTTCATTTAATTTCAACCATATTTTTATTTCGTATTAGTCGAAAGTGATTAATGATAGTTTCCCGTAAGGGAATATAAATATTCTCGAAATTCTAAAAAAAACAAAATACTTCTAACGTTTTAACTAATTTGGCTAGAGTACTATGACTTCCAATATTCGAGAGAAGATTAATGGCATAACTCCATCACCCGGATTTTTTAGTTACTGAATTTGTTAATCAAAAAGACTAGACAGTTTTGGGGCTAAGCCCCATCACCCTTAAATTTCTGGTTACGCCACTAAGAAGATATCCCTGGTTCCTTCTCTTGAATAGTGGGGATCGTAGAACTCTAACCATCTCTATTAAAAAGTTATAAATATTTTGTCCAACTGTTTTTTTCTTTAAAATTTCGATAGCAGAATGAAATTTTTTACAATTGTATGTTGACAAATTTTCTTTCAATACTTGACATTGAAATAAGAACATTATTTTTTGGCACCTAGATTTAAAAAATGATAACATGACTTTGTTCTCATTGACATTAAGCTATTTAACCGTAATCTAATAATTATCATTAGAAAATTCATTTTCACTATATTTACTTATTATTCTGTTCCTCAATTTTGTAATGATATGTCAAAAGTAAAGCCTAATAACTACCTTATTGATTTATAAAAATTTCTATAATCAGTAAATACAACAAGTGCTAATAACTAACGAAGTTTTATTTTGTTTTTAAATCAACAAACAAATCATATCTTTTTTGCGAATGTGACAGGCAAGTCTTATTTATTATTGAAAATACATTTAATATCTGCAAATTTCTAGTAAGCTAATCTTATAAAGTAGTTGTGACAAAAATCTTTTTTACTTATGAATAATCTTAAGTATGCCAACTGTCAACGCATTAACGAAGTAACATTAGTATAATAACTTTTAAATTTCATGGCCTTGATAGTCAAATGGGATTTTATTGTTGTTGTTTTTTTTGGAGAAGTCAATAGATATGTATTGTAGGGAGAAAAAGACAATAGAATTGAACTTAAGATACATATTTATGTTGTTTCTATAGATTTTAAGAGGTCATATAATGTCGATTAATAACACCTGCCTGTCATTTTTGATAATGCCAAGATAATCATATTATCGAAGAACCTTTATATTGACATTCATTTCTTTACTAAGAATTATAATTATTACAATGGTTTTCATATGAAAAAAAGAAAAGTTTGTTTTTTTGTTATATAATATTTTCTTAAAATAAATAAATTAATAAAATTTAAATAATAGTACTTATCATAGAAACTCATTACTATGTTTATAGGAATATATTTTATCGATCGATAATAAATTTTATTATACTTCAAAACTTTATTTTATTGAAAAGCATAACAATAATTTAGATATATCATATTGTTGAAGAAACAGTTATAAAATCATCGTATGACTCCATAGGTGGTATCTTAATAGTATCAAATTTCTTTTCTTATATATTTAATGATTGACATCTACAATTAAGCAAAATTTAGTATTAATCAATCAAAATAATATTGATGGATTCAATAATTTCCCTGAGGAACAAAAATCTATAGTGATCTACATTTAAGACGACGTACTGTAAATTTTTTGAAAAATGTCATTTATTTTTATAAAAATCAATTTCGATTATGTTCTATAAATATTCTATTTGATCTCTTAGCATTAACTGTTACTATTCCTAGTAAATTAACTGTACTAATTTACTTGAAGAAAAAAAGATAAGAATATTATATAAATATGTCAATTGTCATGTTTGATTTTTCTCTATTTTCCTAGATTTGTTTTTTTGTGTCTGAATAATAAGAAAAATCTGTAATTGATCAAAACAATACAAGATAGATTCTCACTAATAGAAAAATTAATATTTATCATTTTTAAAATATAATATAAAAAATATTTGAAATATGATATTAACATATGTTAACTTCTCGTTTTTCTTCGTTTGTTTTGTTTAACATAAAAAAATTGTATAGAATTGAGATGATTGCTATCTCTATATTTAGTATAAAGTCAAGTATGTTGTTTGTTTTTTACTCTAAACATCTCTATACTCATTTGGTGATGATCATTATCTCAAGAGACATTCGTGAATGAATAAAAAAACATTAGTAATATTTAATTAGAATGTATAAAAACACAGGAAAAAACATGATGATGATGATAATTCTTATTGTTACTTTTTATTTTCCATATGAAATTCATCAGAATAATGATAAAAGATAAATGAGACATCATTTCTGTTTTGTATTAAAACAGCAAAGTAGATATGAGTACACATAAAATATGGTAGAATAGTCACGAATGATTATTAACTATGTTTTTTTTACATTTATGCAACGAGTTTTTCTTTTAAATATACATTGCATAGAGAATTATTGACATTAGAATAATGGGCTATTATAAAAATTTTAATATTTTTAAATCTCATGCTTTTCAATATCCGATGTATGTTTAATATAAATAAAGCAGATGGTATAGAAATATATTATATAACTTCCGGTTATTTTCTCTTCTTATTATCATTGTCAATGATGAATGTTAGACTTATACTGATCGAAAAATTCTTCTTCTTCTTTTTTTTTATTTTTATTATTACTCCTAAACGGAAGATAGAAATAGGTTAAGTATGATATTTCTATGAAAATAAACAAGTGTATTAGTTGCATATCTACATAAATGTTGACGTCGTTATATATATAGATTTGTTTGTTCTCCTACAGCCAAAACATGACAATCATTCAAAACATTTTTTTTGATTTGTTATACCTATAGAGAGTTAAGAGCGTTAGCAGATGGAATGTATATATATATCAACACGTCTAATAGTATAGATTTTTATCTAAGAATTGAGTTTTTCTTGTAATATATAACGTAATACTGTCGTTTGATGACTATTAGAAACGACTCTGTTATTTATTAGTCTGTTTTTTTGTAGCTTGATAATATCAACTGACAGTTTTCTATTTTCTTCTCTTATGTTCTTTTCCTTATTCTCTCAATTGTCGTACAATATATCATTACATTACTTGAAATAAGTTTTTTCATCTTTCTATATAAATTTCATTAACACAAATGTCATATAAAGAATACTCAAATTAAATAGATCATCAATATTATAACTACATTTCAAACATTTCTTGACTTGTTTATCTACGTGTTTATAAGTATGAGAAGTGTTTTTTGTATTTATATTTTGATAATATTATCATCATCATATATAAGATATTTGGAGAATAGCCGGATAATGAGATAGATCTGTTGTTATTTTTTTCGTAAATACAGAAGAGAATATAAATCATTTTCATCACGTACTTAACGCAGACGACAAATAAGTGAATAGAAAAGAATAATAATCATTTGGAATCAACGCCTACATATTTAACTAGTTCATTCCTTTCTTTTTTTTGTTTTTGTTTATCTTTACTTTACAATCTTTGCTCTAAAATGTTTTCCATCTGGAAAAATGTCAATTTCTATTTCAGTTTACACCTTAGACTAATACCGTAAATCTTTAATCTTTCATGCATCTCATCACGCATGTCTACTTTATCTTTCTATATTTTTTTTGAGTACTTCCGCCTATCACTATATAGACTTGATCATGAAACACGAGATACATTTCATAGGCTAGATAAATTGTATAAAAAGAAGACGAAGAAGAAGAATTGAAGTTTTTTTAATTGACTCTTTTTTTTTCTCAGATTATAAGAAAGTTGACAATCTTGACTTGATATTAATTATGTTCTGAGATATAACTTGAATTAACAATTTCTTTTTTTATAATTATTCAACTTTTTTACCTGACCTTTTACTCTATTTTATTCTTAATTAAAAAATAGGAGAAAGAAATACGTCGTAGATATACTTCGGATCTAATCATAATTTTCGAGTAAATTACTACTGTGTTTACATCTTCAATTAAGAGTCTAAATTCTAGGTTCCCTTGACATGTCAATCAACATTAGAGTAGAATCATAAGCAAAACAGAATAACTTAGGATGATAAGAAGATTGCTTGAAGGAATTTGTCTCTTCTATTTTGATGTTTTAGATTGAATCAATATGATTAATGAAATTTATGTTCATATTATAATATGACTGACAACACATCTTTTCTAAGTAGTAGCAATAGTAGTGATGATGAATCTGGTGTTAATGATGGTCCAACATTAAATACACGTATTATTTTAGTTAGTACATGGATTATTATTGCTGTTGCTGGTATTATAGGTAAAGAAAATTGTATTTCATAGAACAAATTTTTACAGATATATATATATTTAATTAGGTAATAGTTTAGTTATATATGTTGCGACTCGTTTTCAAAAGATGAATAATGTAACGAATTGTTTTATCGTAAATTGTAAGTTAATTTAATTATTTAAAAGAAACAATATATATTTTTCATTGATTTTGAATTTAGTGGCTATTACGGACATTGTATTTTTGGCATTTTGTATGCCACTTTTAGTCGTACAATATACATCAGATAAATGGTAAAATAAATTGTCTATAATTTCTATAATTTAATATATATATTCTTAGGTTATTCAATGAAATATTTTGTAAACTTTTAAATTTTATTTCTTATGTAAGCGTACTTGTTACTGTACTAACATTAGTTGCAATGACTATTGATCGATATATTTATGTTGTACGACCATTTCAAAATTTAAAATGGAGAAAACCATCAACAGTATTTTTATTAAGTATTATTATTTGGTTAAGTAAGTATACAGTTTAAATTATTAATACAAGAATAATTCTATAATTTCTTAGTTTCATGCATATTTGCTTCGCCATTTTATTATCATTATGGTGTAGACCATACTGATGATGATGATTATCGACAATGTATATTACTTAGTGACGACGATTTACAGAAATATTTTCGTATATATATAGTTACTTTATATTATTTTATTCCATTAACAATAATTGTTATAACATATACACGTTTACTTTATTATGTTTATGCAAAGGAAAACAGACTTAAGCCTAAAACAGTAATGATCTTTCTTATTTTATCTCCTACTTCTTTTCTTATTACATATCTATTTTTAGAAACATCATATTGTAAAATGGTCAAAGAAACGTCGTGCTGTAACAAGAATGGTTGCCATTGTTACAGTTGTTTTTTCACTTTGTTGGTTACCTCTTACATTATATATTATATCAGCAAATATATTTACAACTAAAACACCATTTCTTTATTATTTTAAAGTTATTGCTCATTCATTTGCTTATTTAAATTCAGCAATTAATCCATTACTTTATGCATTTTTAAATCGTAGTTTTCGAAATAATTGTGGAAGTCTTTTTTCAGAAAAATCATGTTCATTATTTTTTAATGAAGATTATCGTCCATCACAAGGTGAACAACATAGTAAATTTCGAAAACATTTACCATCAACACAAACTGAGCGATTTAGTTATCAATCAACAAATCATCATACAACATCAATAAAATTAAATAAAAAGAAAAAAACTGTATCAATTATTAGTCCTACTCATCAATTAAAACCAGATATTGTATCACATAATGATTTTTCTGATGCCGATTATTATGAAATATCTGAAGTTGAATGTGCCACTCATATTCCACTTGAAAAAACGACCTATTTGCCTCATCTGCCTTCAGAACAATATGAATCATTATTAACAGAAAAAAGCAATGGTTCAAGTACTCAAACAACAAGCCTCTAATGATTTTTGTTTACACACACATATATATATGTATATTTTTCAAAGACAATAATAAATTCATTATATATATATATAGATTTCTTTTTTTTCTTCATTTCTCAACATCACATATCTTGAATTGTAAACCTCAAATAAATAATAATGAGTTCATTACTACTAAATTTTTTATCTACTTTTGCACACATTGGTATATTAATATAACACGCTAGGCCTTAAGTACTATAATTATCCAAATGTTTCTACACAGAATCATGACTTTAAAATAGAGTATGTAATTATATGACAGCTATCGATAAAAATATAATTTATTAAGTAATTCTACTTAGGATAATAGATCCGATTGAGAATAAATTATAACGTGTCAATGATAAATTAGCATCTTGAAGTTCAAAATAGCAAAAATAATATTCATTACTTTCACATTCAGTTAATTTGATAAAATACTTTTGATTAAAAAAATGAATATTTTCTTTCAAATACAATAAAATAAAGAAGGAAGGTGATAAATTAAATTAAATTCTTAACTATTAACGCCATCTATATTAAATAAATAAATTTATTTAAATTTCAAAAACTTAGGATTAAAAATTATATTTTAAAATAATAGATCAACTATAAATCTATTGATTTCTATGTATATAAATCTTCTTATTTTGGTGTTTGTAACTAAGCAATAAATTTCATGATGGTTAAAACGGTTTTATAATACTCTACAAAACATTTTCTGTTTTTTTACCGGTAACTAGTTATAGAAACACCAGAATCACGATAAGGTATGGGTCAACTATATTTACACTATTAAGTTTTTATTTTTATATAATCATATTAATAACATAAGAAAAATAACATTTGATATTGACCTTGTCATAAAGTCGTTTTTTTTGTTCTACAGGTAATACAGAGCATAATAATGAGCAACGAAATAGAACGTCGCGATAGTGGTCGAAGCAGTAAACAAGGTGCTTCGCATCTATCTCCATATGAATTTACTAAAACTGGTATTACTGGTGATCAACGAGATACGATGCTTGGAAGTGAACTTCAACTTTTAGTATGTTTACCATGTCTAGACTGTTTAAGAGTGCAATTGTTTTTTTCGTAGCCGGAATTAGGTAAATGCCGTCGTCGTGGTCATAAATTACCTCCACGAAATTTTACATACGGTGTTACACTTCCTCGTCATGATGGTGGTGTGGGTGAAGGTAATTTTATATAGAAGATAAAATGCTTATTTTCGAATGGTATATATTTAGCTTTGTGTCATGGACCTGAAAAGGAACGTAAAATTAATCCAGATTTTGAATTTGTTCGTGATTATTCAGCCTTAAATAAAGCAGCACTTGAATCTGGTATGATAACTGCTAAGGATCAAGCACGTTTTAGGTAAACTTTTTTTATTGAAATTTATATTTTAATACTTTTCTTTGTTACATCTAGAACTGTACATGATATTCAAAAGAAAGTTCAAGTTCGTGATGTATCACATTCGAAAAAAACACGAAAATTTGCTGATGATATGGTATTCGGTAACCCAAATAGGTAAAAAGAAAAAAATTATTCATCGATTAATCTGAATAAAATTTAATGTTTTTTAGACCATCAACACCTATACAGGAAGTTTTACAAAATCGTTTTCTTAATAATTGGCTTGATTCAATGCAAAATAAACAAGCTTCAGCTGAAAAAGAACGTGCTGATGCTACCGTAAATAATTTGTTTTTCTCCGATAAATAATAACCATTCGATTATAATTTAGAATGCTTTTAAAGGAAGTTATCATACAAAATCATCACTTCTTCGACAAGCTAAAATTCCGGTTGAACCCAAACCATTATGGAAAATGCCAAAATTTGCTAATGTAAAACAAAATAATTTTTTTTCTGCTTTTGAATTCCATTTCTATTTAAAAAAACAACTAACAAATTTTTTTTGTCTTAGGGTGTAAATCAAGTTGATTCATTCCGAAGTGAATCTGAACGTCGTCGAGCATATAGTGCTAATTCATTTGATTCAATACCTCGTCAAGGTACATATCATACTGGAATTTATAATGTTCCACGTACCACTGTCAAAACATAAAAGAACTTTTTTTTTTATTTTGAATTTCGTTTCTTTTTTTATGCATCATAGTTTTTTTTTTATTCAACAACAAAGGGAAAAAAAGAGCTTTATCAGTGATGAATATATATGGAAATGTTTCTTTTTTCTGTTTTTAACATGACTAAAAGATATCAATATATTTAACACATACAAACATAGTGAAGCTAACGACTAGAGAAATATTGTTTTGAAAGAAGAACAAAAAAAATTTTTTTTTAGGAATAAATTCGATGTAGACTATTTTGTTTATCTGTATATGCATTATGTAAACCAGTTAGAAATTCTTCATCATTCTAAAAATAATAAATAAGAGAAAAAAAAAATGAGAGACGAAATAAAATAATTTACTTGAAGCATATCAACTAATAATTGTCGAAGTGAATCTTTAGAAAAACGATTCATGCATGATGTTGGTTGATGTTGACAATGATGACAAGAAGATGACGTTGAAGCAATTTGTATAGGAGCAACAAGAACTATTTTTAACAAGAGGATTTTATAAAAAATAAATGAAGTCTATGATTATTTATACCTGGTGATTGAGGCATACGTAATGTCTGAAATTCAGCTGGTGTCATTAAACGACCATTACTATCTGAATGAGAATGAAACTAAAAAAATTGACAAAATTAGAAAGAGAAAAATTTTTAAAAATAATAATTTACTCCATTAGAATGACTGTGATTAGATGTTTTCCAATCATTTAAAGGATTTGTTATACCATTTGGTGATACAGATTCTGGTGGAGTTTGAACTGAATTCTAAATAATAATATCATATATTTATTTATGAATAGCAATGCGTGTATATATCGAACACATAGAAGAAAAATTTTGAATATAAGAATAATCAAGGAGGAAACAGCTGATTATTTGTTTAGATATGATTAGCAGTAATTAGTATTTCTTAGTAATGATGGGTGAGTGTGGATGTGATTATTCTCTTTATTTACACCCATACCCACCCTCAAGTTTCACACAGTTTAGAATTTTAATCAAACGACGCTAGTCGAACTTCGGATGGCATGTGCATGCAAAACATGAACATCTTGTTCTATCGCTTCAGATTCTTACTGACGTACTTCAATTTTTATCCAAGCGTTCCTGTCATTAAAGAACTTTTTCAGTTTTATGTTCGAAATGACTCAAGCACTCGTCATGAGCTATGGGTACAACTTGACAACTGTCTGAGTCAAGAAGGGAAGAAAAAAAGTTCATCTAGGAAATAAGTACATCGACATTTCAATCTCTAACTACGTCATATGACATAGATAATTTTATTTAGTTCAATTTTGATTCGGATAGGAAATACTTTGACTATGCTAAAAATATTATTTAAATTTACTTTATTAGAAATTGGAATAGGTTTCACGAGAATTTCAACAATGTTTGGGTTTCCTGTAGAAGTAATCATAGATTTTGTTGGTTCTGAAGATGATGGTTGAAGTAATTGTTTTTCAAGTTCAGTTACACTTAAAGCTGGTTTGCCTAAAATTCCTAATGTTTTTTTTAATTCTTGTTCACGTTCATCATTATTTGTTGGTTGTAATGGATTATCTTGAATAGAAAAAAGACGTAATAATGCAGCTGGCATACTTGACATTGTATCTGGTTCTTGTTTACGTTTCTATTTAATAATAATAAGAAGAATTTAAAATAAATTTAATTTGAAAAACAAACCGTGTCTTGAAATTTTTCTTGAGCATTTACTAATAATGAAAATATATCGGAAGAACTTTGAGTTATTGTTGAAAATAACAATTCGTTAGTTAAAGTATTTCTTGATTGATCACTTTCTTTTACTGTCATTGTTAAACGTTTTAAACATTCAGTTACACGTGGACAATCATTTTTTGATATAAACCATATTCCATAAATGTCTAATTGAACAAAATTAATATAATTTCAAAAAATATTATTAATTAACATACCTCCAACATCAACTTTATATTGAAGAAATGCCTCATAATTTGGTGAATGTTTAAATTCCATAGATGATTTAATAATCTGTACAAATGTTTCACGTGAAACAGTGCTTAATATAACAAAACCATGATAAGGTTCACATGATCTAATTACAAAATTTTATTTTACTTCAATAAAATATATATATATTTACCTTTCATAAACAAATAATGTTCCTTCGAGATCTTTACGCTCCTATAAATAAATAAATATAAATGATCAAAAAAAAAAAGAAATAAATGGTTTCTTTTTTCATACCCATTCACGTTTTTCAGCAATAAATTTATAAACACAAACACGTTGAGCTTGATCAATTATTTTTGTAATATATGGATCACGATTTTGTAAGGCTTGTAAATTAATACGATTTAATTGATCTTCTTCATTAGAATTTTCATTGGAAATATTTGATAATCGATTTGAAACTAAAGATGTTGTTGATGAAATCATAGTTGACATTATAACAAGAGAAGAAAAAAAAGAAAGTAAGCAAATATGATATCGGTTCTATTTAGATTATATGAATATATAGACATGAGAATGGTAATCCAATTGATTCTATAGGTAAAATATGGATTACTGTCGCTTATTTGTGATTGATAGGAAGAAAGAATTGACTTCATGGATCTATATAATTCTCTAGCTCTAGTAAGACCTTGACGATTACTGTATTTTTTTCATTGAAAGTATGTTCTTTTTTTTTCTTTATCAATTTATGTTCGAATCGTTGTTTTATTTTATATAAATAAAAGGTAATAAATTTATTGAATGTTGGTTGAAAAAGTACGAATCATACTCGATGTAACCTCGAGATCTTACTGGATTTTATCAACAAAAAAATTCCGTTATTTCTAGATAATCTAGTCATGTCTACAGTTCGGTCAAGACAACCAACTTTAATAAGAAAACGATCTCAATCAGCAGCAACAGCACCATCATCATCATCAACATCATCTCGAAAAGCACCGAAAACTTTAAATCTTCCATCTTCATTAACATCTGATATATGTCGTATTGTTGAAAATGTAATATTAGCTTTTTGTCGTCGTATTATATTTGCACCACCAACACTCAAAATATTTGTTTATTTTTCTCTTATTATAATTGGTCCTTTTTTAAAAGATTTTCATTTTCTATCAAATAGATCACTTTCATCAAAAGCTAATATTTTAAATAAATATATTACTAAAATAGGATGGGCATGGTCTATAATCTTATTAATTCCATTTGTCTATCTAACAAGTTTAATCTATACTCGTGGTCATTACGGTTTGATATTCCGTCATTTAATGCGTTTATTCATAGCGACTATTATTTGGTCTAGTATAACAGCATTATTTATTCGTATTGAAGCCTTAACAGGTATGTGTAAACCGACTAATCTTCGTGGAATTACAAGTCAACTTTGTCGTACTAGTCGATATCAATGGCAAGAAGGACATACATTTTTTCTTCTCTATGCTCTATTAGTAATCAATGAAGAAGTTAAATTATATGGTGAAAATTGGAAAAAAGTTGAAGATGCAAGTAAAAATAATAGTATCAATCAAAATCGTATTAGAATATTTTCTATACCAATTGCAATACTTTATATGTTATTAGCAGTATTAACTATTCTCTGGGAATTTATGCTTTTATCAACAGTTTTCTATTTATATAATATTTTACATAAATTAATTGCAGCAAGTTTCGCTGTGTTCTTCTGGTTTATTACTTATCGTTATTGGTATCTTCAGACTACTAGATCAACTATTGCTCCTTGTGCACCTGGTGATGGTTTTTTTTGAAAGATATAAATGCATTTGCATGTGTGTGTGTAGGAAGTGTTTTTTATTTAGTTTAATAATAATATCAAAACAAAAATATATGATTATTTGTTATTCAAGACGTCGTAGGCGATGTAGTACAGGTCGAGCATTTATTCTTGATTCAGGTTCATGTTTCCAACAATCTTCAATGATTGTTAATACTTCAGATATTTTCTAAATGAATAACAATAAGATAACAAAAGAATTCGATTTTTTTTCATTCATACGGAATTCATATTTGCTGTTCGATGAATAGCTGGTCTTTTTCGTTCATTCACAACAACTTGATGAAGTATATCTAAAATTTTATTTTCATTTGTTTCATTTGTTTTAACATATTCAGCATAGGGAAGTTGATAATCGATGGAATCTAAATAAAATAATTAATTGTTTTCAAAAACAATCAAAATCTTTTACATGAATATTCTTGACATTGTGTAATAATTTCCCATAGAACAAGTCCAAGTGCATATATATCAACTTTACATAAAGCATTACTTGTATGTGTTATAGCAAGTTCAAGTAATTCCGGTGCCATATAACGATATGTACCAATTTGAATGAAATCATTTGATGTTAAAATAGGTGGAAGAATTTTTGCTAAACCGAAATCAATTAAACATAAACTAAGAGTTAAATTTGATTTGATAAGAATATTGGAACTTTTTATATCACGATGAATAATAATTGGTTTACGAATACGATTTATTGTTAGATAATCATTTGGTGATAGATCTTCGTAATGAAGATAATCAATTGCATCGACAAGAGAGAGAAGAAATGAGTAACAAGTTGACCAAGATAGTTTATGTGAACGAAGATAATTATTAAGTGAACCAAGATCATGATATTCGAGGAGAAGATATGGAGATTGATTATACCATCCATGATTGATAAAACTAAACGGAAGTTTTATTAAATTATAAATTTAATCTTTAGTTTTACTTACTTAATGGTAGATGGATGATGAATCATTCTTAAAACTTGTAATTCATTGTCGAATAAATTTTTATGTTGTTGTCCATGATAAACTTTAATAGCTAAAAGTTTTTTTTCATGTTGAAAAGTTTCTTTTCGTGTTGTTAATGCTCGATAGATAGTACTAGTTTTTCCATGACTAATAATTGATTGATAAGGAGGATTGGATGATAGGAATTCATCGATTTCTATGTTAGAAATATTTGTTGATGTTGTTGAGATATTTGTTAGAAATGATCGATTATCTTTTTCGTTACGTTTTTTAATACCGTGATATTTAATAAATATGATTACACTAATAAAAATAATTATCATAATAATTGAAAGACTAATCATCAGTGGAAGAAACCAATTACTATATTCTTGTTGTTTAATAATATTTTGATTGTGATAGATTTTTTCATTTAAATTATCGGCTGTTTTCCATTTTAATGTACAATTATCTGAATTGCATCGACATAAAAGGTTACTACCAGTTTTATCAACATCAAGAATACATTCTGTAATATTTGTATATTTATTCTCAAAATCATCCACAAATGCCAATTGACGAATACGTATAAGATCTTCGTTTTTATTTAAGTTTTTGTCGAAAGTATAAATTCCAAGACAACGACGATCCATTGAGTTTGTTGTAATATATGTACATAATGAGCTATTTTTTTCGCATGGATTAACTGTACTAGTTTCATTATTGAATATATTATAAATTGGACAAATAAGAGATTTGATATTTAAAGGAAAGACAATAAAGAAAATACTTAGAAAGATTAACATATTGACCAGTGGTCAAGGGAATGAAATTTTTGGATAATATTAGCTATAATCAAATAGCTTTGTTACAGAAAATAACGAATCATTATAATGAAAAGATATATACTCCTGTCATCTTCAGGAAATATCTGCGAATGTATCATCATAACAATATGAGTGTGAGTGATTAGATATGAATAGAAAATTAATTAAGAATCATTCAATACTATATAAGATGCAATTGCCAAGGTTTAGCATCTTAGGGACAGAAAAACTATCGACTTAAGTTTTTCTGGGTTTATGTAGCCTAATACACCCATAACAAATATCTTTTATTTCTATGACTCGAATTATGTGTTGCAGAGTTTGTATTTTCTATAAAGAATGAGATTGAACTAAAGATAAAGATGCGTGAGGGCGTGTGACTGTAGCTGTGCGTACGGACTTAAAATGGATTCAACATTCCCCGATCCACACATTCAAGAGATAATATTTAAAAACAGAATTTCAATCAAATAGTTGTTTTTAATCGATTGAATTGAGATAAAAAAGAAACATTTCATTTGGGAAATTGTTTCATCAGTGATTTTTCTAAGTCTTTTTTTCATATACAGTCATCGAAATAATTACGATTTTCTACTCTTGGGAGTAATCTGTAAACTCCTTTTTTGTTTATTATCATATAGACAAACATACTATTGATGATATTAAAATCTTTGTAAAGTGCAGAATCAGATTGTACCAATCACATTCTCGTAAGAAAATGTCAAACGAAGATATTTTATGATCAATATGTTAAAAACATCTTTTTATAAATTATTTCGTTTCAAAACATTGTGAACAATGAGTACTTTCTAAGATAAGATCATCAGTCTTTGCATACAACAGACACTGCTGAGGAATGAACATATACGAACTACTAAGCTGCACATCAATAACAAACATAATTTTCGTGAATATATTTGAGAACTTAAAAACTGCTGCATTTCTTTGTTGTGACAAATATAAGAGTATAATATATGATCGATAAATAGCATATCGTTATCTATTCTAGAACTCATCAACTATTTCTACTATATTAGTTTTCGAATACTTTTCATCGTTTCATCTAACAACACTAAAATCATACGACTTCTATCATACATATCTCTATCGATTCGAAAGCTATTGCATCTCTACAGAAACAAAAACTGCAGATTGACGACTTGAATTTCTTTCCCAGATCTACAATCATCAAACTGAGCTTATAGATACTTACTAGACATAAATTCTCATATACTATAGTTTTGCATTTTACAAATAATGAGAATTATTACAACGAAATGCTATTAACAAGCTAATTTTTATCTCTTTCTTACAAATGTTGAGTTGGCTAGATATTAAAACCAAGCTCTATAGATTGTCTTATTTATTTTCCAATAACACAAATATCATAATATTCAGCCTATTAAATCATCACACTACAGTCTCGACCCTTCATCTGCCGCAGCCTACTGGCACTCGCACACAGCATCTTCTACATCTATTCATCTGTCTTTGAAGGAAACAATATTTGTTACCAAAATAATCCACAAACCACATAACAAGCGAATACTTTTCACCATAGTTTCGTTCATTTGTTTTGCTCATAATAAAGCGAAGACAATTAGTTAGTTAAATATTCCACAAATCACATGACAAATGAATACTTTTCAGGATAGTCCTTTTCATTTATTTTGCTGATGATAAAGTGAAGACATTTAGTTGGTCAAATAATCCACAAATTACATGACAAAAGAATACTTTTCAAAAGAGTTCTGTGCATTTGCTTTGTTGATGATAAAAGAAAGCGAACTAGTCAGTTAATTAATCCACAAATTACATGACAAATGATTACTTTTCAAGACAGCTCTGTTCATTTCTTTTGCTGATGATAAAGTGAAAAGAATTAGTTAGTTAAATAATCCACAAACCACATAACAGATGAATACTTTTCACGAGAGTTCTGTTCATTTGTTTTGGTGATGATATAGTGAAGGCAATGACTTAGTCAAATAATCCACAAACCACATGACAAATGAATACTTTTCATAACAGTTCTGCTCATTTGTTTTGCTGATGATAAAGTGAAAAGAATTAGTTAGTTAAATAGTTCACAAACCACACAACAAATGAATACTTTTCACGATAGTTCTGTTCATTTGTTTTCCTAATGATAAAGTGAAGAATGTTAGTTAGTTAAGTAGTGCACAAGTCACGTGACAAATGAACACTTTGTATAAAAGTTTTGTTCATTTATTTTGCTAACGGTAAAGTGGGGAATGTTAGTTAGTCGAATAATCCACAAATTACATAAGAAATGAATATTTTTCATGATAGTTATGTTTATTTGTTTTCCTGATGACAAAGTGAGGAATGTTTGTTAGTTAAATAATCCACAAATTACACGACAAATGAATATTTTTCAGCAGAGTTCTGTTCATTTGTATAGTTGATGATAAAGTGAAGACAGTTAGATACTTAAATAAGCCATAAAACACATGACAGATGAATACTTTTCATCACAGTTCTGTTCGTTTTTTTACTAATAGTGAAGTGAGAAATATTAGTTAGTCAAATAATCCACAAATTACACGACAAATGAATACTTTTCATCACAGCTCTGTTCATCCGCTTTGCTCATTTCAAACGCAGAACGGCAGCATAGCTAGTTAAGAAAAGAACAAATACTAAATGAACAGTGAGAATGGCAAGTGGCATGCTCCTGATCACTAATCTACTGAGCTGCTCGCTATTAATGATCTGTTGATTCAATCATGTAAGGTCACATAGGAACTGAATAACTTTCACCATACTTATATTCAATAATTCTATTATATCTAAAGCAATAATCGTAGCATGCCAGTCAATAGAAATTATAGAACAAATGAATACCTCATATCATTACATTGTATTTTTACTTTTTTATATTTCAATATGCAATTTCAATATGCACTGCGAATTCATGGTGATATGGATTATGAATGATATCAACGATAGTTCTATTCAGTTTCTTCATCCATTTCAATTGTAATAGTATGAAATGCTTCAAGTCATAATGGATTGCTCATTAGATGAATTATCATAACGTAAGTTTTGTTGTTAATTTATGTTTCCAAGGCTGAAAGACAATCACCAATCTATATGAACGAATATGACAGAAAAAATGAATAGAAATTATCAAACCATATTGTTTTTAATTTTCATTCGTTTGAATTAGAATACTGTGTCTGACATGACATACAAATCATATAACAAATGAATGCTCATAACGATAGGAAGAATTCTGTTCTGATATTGTTGTCTCTTAAATGAGTTATTGCGTGTTAGTTAGTGGATTGCTTGTTGATGATGAGGCAAATGTATACTCTTGATTTTTGTCACGATTACAGTCACCTATTTTACTTGCTTTACAACGAGAATGACTAATACACTCAGTGCTCTAGTGCAGTATGAATAATGAATATTTTTAACGATAAACTTGTTCATCATTATACTGTTATTTTGGAGTATATTTGTAGTTGATATATCAACTAAAATAGTGTGAAGTTGACGAATAATTACTTAATAATAGACATATGCATCTATCTTACTCATAGCACCCGTAGAAATTCCATTTTGACTCTTCGTAGAAGGCCACATATTAAATTAATAGTACAAATCAGTAGATTGTGCATATATTTAGTTGCCATAAATCAAAAGTGCCAAATTGATACACTATATCAAATATTACATCTAACATAAATAACGATAAGAACATAGACCAGAGCTTTGTTCAACTAATACTTTCTATTTTGTAACAGTAAGATAAAATAAAATGTATACCTGAAAACTTGATGGAACATGGATGATCTATACAACGTGTACAAGCTCGACCACCAACATCATGTTCACTTATTTATTTCACTACAAACAAAATATTTCACGAAGATATCTCGAAATAAGATGACACAAAGAATGAATGATAATAACAAGCATTTTAATCATTTATTCATTTATGTATGAATACAACTATGAATACAGTAAATTCATCACAGATCATTTGTCTAATGTACAATTCTTACGAAGTTGCTCTTGCTGAAGTGATTTAGTTGCTTGTACATTTTCTAAATGAAAACATGTATCATTTATTAAAAATTGATATACACAACAAGACTGCTCACTGCTCTACTCACAAAACAGCATATTTTATTTATAAATTCTTTTACAATTGAGTAACTGTGTTAATATGAAAGTGAGATCAAACTGTACAATTTTAGCTGATAGAAATAAAAAAACACCCATTGGAGTCATTTGAGAAATATCATCAGTCGTTCTGCTAATAAAATGAAAAGATTCCATACTTTTTTTTGTTTGGATGAATTTACTAATCAATAACAAGGGACTTCCAAAGATTATGTAGAACTGTTCAGACTGATTTATCATACAGTCAATAGTTGATGATATTCAATAAGTCAAGTAAAATCTCTAACAATCAAATTTTTACTTGTTTAACATTAATTCAAACCTTACTGTGGCCCCTCTCTTGTTACTTTAAACAATCTCAACCATCTACAACTTTGGTCGATTTTTGTGAGAAGAATTAATTATCAGAATCGATCACTAATATCAAAGAAATAATGTTTTATAGTTGGTATCAAAACGTAATAATTTATAAGATACTTAAATAGAGAAATAGAAAATAAATAACGTTGAATTGAACAGTGCAATTGGAAAGACGAAAAATATATCAATAGAGAGTTTGTGCACTTATAATCCTAATCATAGATATTATCAATTTATATGTGAAGAACATTTTGATGGGAATGAAACTATTCGATTTAAACCTTATTCGTTATTTTGATGAGCCATATATTTAACGGTACTTAGTATATATATAAACTGAATAAGTGATTCTTGTTGTCTCTTGCTCAATATGCAAAAAGATTATTGCAGAAAAATAAATATCAGACATTTCTATGATTCTTAATCATTTTATTATCACTGCACGAACTATGATATTTATTCTCTGCATTCCGAGTCAATGTTTTTTGAAAAATATTATACTGAAAATTCATTCAAATTGGACGTCACAAACGTACCTTGTTTTCTTGTTGGTGTTTGCTGACGTTCAACTTCGACAGGTTTTTCTTGAACATAGATAATACGATTCCAGTTTATTCTTTCATTTTCTTCTTTATTAAGTTCAATTCTAGTTCCTTGAGAAAGTTGAGTCACGTCTACATTCAATTGATCAATCTTTTGTTTAAGCCTTGTTAAATCATGTTCAACATAGTTCTCAGTTTCTTTCAAATCAGCTAATTCTGTAGAGAAGCCTCTGAATTCACTTGTAATTTTCACAGATTTTGAACTCATCAGCTGATTAGCCTGCTGACGCACCTGTTCCGCTGTTTGTCGCACTTTTTCAATCGTAATCCTTTCCCATGCATTGATTTCTTCAATTAGTGGATTACGTGAGTTGTTTCCTTTTGTTGCTGTGTTAATTTTCTCTTGTAGTTTATTGCGCTCTTGAACGAGTTCTTCCATCTCATTAAATAATATTTCACGATGACCTCTGAAATCCTTTGCGCAGAAGTAACCATCACAACCTGTGCAATGCATCACTCCTGTCGGTTTTTGACAAATGGAACATTGATTTGATTTTGCCATTTCTATGAGTACATTACAACAGAATATCATATATGAATATTGACCAAAGGAAAGAATCTGCTTACCTAATGTATTACAATAATGAAAAGAATTTGGTAGATATCAACGTTTTGAAATATATCTGAAATTGTCGAAATAAGAACAAAATATATAATCTTATTTTTTTATCAATATTAATAGTAGAAAATTTTTAAAATAATATCATTAGAAAAACATATTTCTAATATAGTTTTCATTTATAATACTTCCTATATTGGAGACTATATTGCAGTAACACCGTTTAACATCGCGCACGGATGAAAAAAGTTTACATTATGAGTCTAGTCTTGTTCGACAAGAAAAGAATTATATTCCAAGCCCAACTAGTATTTTTCATTAGTAATTCAATGATACTTAATTTTCTTCGAAAATAGTCGTTACAGCAGATATTCTTTAACGTTAGCTATTTCAATAATGTTTTATAATTTTGTTTTTTCGCTTTCACGCGAGAAAAAGAAGAAGAACTGACTTTATGTCTATTTCACTATCAACCAAGCAGAAGAAAAAAACAACATAAATTCATTTTACCTTTCACAACCCTTATCGAAGAGCAGAGACATGTGCACCATTCTTTTGTTGTTAAAGTGATGTAAACGAAAGATTTTTTTAAAATGATGTTGAAATAACAGGTAGAAATGAAAAACATTGTATTACGACGTTGCAACTTCAATTCATCTACAGAGAATTACTCACAAAGAATTTCCAACCAATTTCGCAATGATGTTTATGTCGTCCAAACAAAGCTACATAATTTTAAATCTGATAGGCTAAGAAAACCAATTATCTACAAATAGTTATCCTTGAAAAATAAAAGCGGTTGAATAATTTACAGTATTTAGAAGTCTATTATTCTTAGCAAGTGAAAACTAGAGAAGAAAGAAATCAGAACATTTTATCACTTTGATTTTTTCCATATTAGTCATCAACTTTCATCAATAGTTTGAGAAACTGAATTCTTCATTCATAGATTAGCCAAACAAAATTTCATGTGTTTTGTCAGCTGATATTAAGTAAAACCAAATTACTTAAAACTATGCTATTCATATTTTAGTAACGTGCAAGTCTTGTAGAGGTCTGTCATTCTTCTTTTCTACTTCTCATACGAGAAGCTCAGAGAAACTTTCAAAAACATATGAGTAATACTGAGTTAAACAGCTCTGAGGTCTCCAAAACCTATTTACTTCATCGCAGTTTCAATAAAAATTTTGCCTTGTTTACATTCATATACGCGTAAAATATTTCGATTTGTCAGGTATTATTAAGCGAGATTTCAGTCAATTAAGATGCTTTGCCTCGCTCAGATTCAGTCAATACTCACAACTATCTATAAATAGTTGGAGATAACGTATAATGAAATCTGTGCTATATGCACTCATGATTACAAAAACTTTCATAAACGAAAGGAATAGGTCAATTCACATTTAGTAGTGTGTAAGATAATACTTTGGCTCAAGAAGAGAGTCATGCATGGAAATCAACTGACAAATTTTTACATAAATTATACTGATCAATCAGTTTTGGATATGACTCAAAACTTTATGTTTGAGCTACTATTCCTCTTATACTTTTCATACTTAGAATCGTGTCGAAATTTTAAAAGTTTATTCACTTGACTTTTACGATTGAAAAATTCGTTTGTCATAATTGAAGTTTATACTAGTCGACGAATCCCAAAATATTTAGATTCGTACACATGTATAAAGATCAAGAGATTAGTTACTTTTTTGAGTTGACTCAAATCAGTATAAAACATACAAAACACTATGGAATATAGTCTGGAATACGAGATCCAGAGAAATCACATTTGAATTGAAGGAAAAGCAAGAATCTTGATCAGAGTAGAATGTAGTAGAAATATCAGATGAGACAAAATATCTATCTCGAAGATGAGAAATGTTTGAAGTGCCAAAATTCCAGTTAACTAAGCAACTCGATTCCGTATGTCCTTTTAAGTATCTGACTTCTAGGAGGAATGCTGTATTTAGAGTAACTCTGTACATCACTGTGTGCAGAGTGACAGATATATATGACTAGAGAAGGATATTCTTTTACTACAAAACTAGTAATATAATATTATACGACCATAGTACACTTATTTTCACTTTTTCAAACTCAAGCATTTTGACTATTGTATTGCCTATGAGCCTTTCGATACGATCCTCAGGAATTTTCTTTTTTTAGATAGTGAAACTTTTCTGATTGCACTATTAGGTTTAGAAACAGACTAGTACTGCATTTGTCAAGCTGTAAGGAAAGTTGATAGTTTCATATTAGCTATACGTTCGGAACATTTTCTGATGAAATACTTTTCACACTCAATACAGAGTATAGTAATGCACGCAGATGAAAATATCTGATATTTGTAAAATTATTGCAAGTGTCACTGAGAGGCAGAAAGAACAAACATACCATATAACCAACAGACAATTGTTTATATTATAAAGTCATTCTTGGTTGAGTTGATTTCTATCGTTCATTATCGTGCTTCTAATATGACTTTAGTGTTGCAGTGCAGAACTTCTGAAATATCTTTCTGTTTAATGACACCCGCCCCTGTGGCCTCTGCAGCTGGTGGTATTCCTCAAATTGTTTCACGACAAAATGATTGAACATATTATTTTCGTTAGATTATGAATTGTGTTGCTCATCTAACATGTCATAAATATAGTCGATCGCAATATAAACCCATGGATAAAGATACTTTTCTATTGGTAATATCAAAATCAAATGATTGGAAATGTCCATTTTCCTCTGGCCAGAATTTTAGTTTGCATACTATATGTTACTCTTGTAGATTCCCATAACCATCAATTAAGAACAGTAACAACAAAAATGAATGCGTTGTTTGAAAAGAAAAAAAGATCTATTTATTCATTCATAACCGCGTGTAGTCACTTAACTGTATATCTTTAGTATGGCACTCAAATCGATCAATATTGTATCTATCATTAGTTTTTTACTTCACATCAAATTATTCAATTTTATAATGTTCATTGATTAATTTTATGCTTCTTTTATTAGCTTAAATGAAAGTTTCCGAGCAGAAACTACTTTATCGAGTTCATATGACATTTCAAAATGGATAAAGGAATATCATTTTCTATTTTTAATCGATGTTGATCGACTTCAACAAATATTTTGGCAGCCTCTTACTCTTAATAAATTAACATCTAATGAATAAACTCAAGATAAGAATTAATTAAATAATAACGATGATAATTATAATATTACTTTCACGTTCATTAAAAAAAACTCGCGAAGGTATGATATTATCCACATATAACATATTCAACTATTTATGAGCATCTCGAATAACTGATAAAAAAAATTGATCAGCTTGAACAATTAAAAATGAAATTTGAATTAGATAAGAAATGTATTATTTAAATGAGGAAGTCATGAGATTTTAAAATCTTTTAAACGCTATCATTGCTCATTTACTCTTGCTTTATCTGAATAAATACAAAACAAAAAAAAGAGAAAGAAAAGTGTCATTAGTAAATTATATGACAATACGCTTATATAAATTTCTTTTATGTGAAAGAATATATTTATACAATGATATTATTGAATATTGTCTTCAAATATAAATAGAATCGGTATATCTGACTAGGTTTTAAAAGAAACAGACGGCCAATATAGTCTGTCAAAGTTTTATTCTTCCATCAAAGAGTATTAATTTTCAAAAACGAAAGAATATGATTTTATAATCCAAGAAGTAGAAAACTCTGATTTTCATATATTGTGTATTCGAAAACACGATTGATTAAATAAGTTTGCTTATGATTGTCATTTTACTTGAAAGATGCGTAGGATTTCTTCTTTGATACTGATAGAATAACAGAAGTAAACCAATCATTTCGTAAAAGATTAGCTATATTTCTTATAGATTGTAGAGAATGTTTATTTTTTTAATTCTTCAATGTCTAAACTCCGCTGTCTTTCAAAACGAAAAGTTAAAAAATGATAACTTTTTGTCATAGATGATATTAGTTTCATAAAAAAAGAAATAAAATTTCATAATTCGAAACTGTATCTTTATGTTATTATTTCCGTTTCTCAATGAGAAGTAATTGTGAGTGCGAAATCTATAGTATCTAACATATCTAGAGATAATACCCGCACCCACGCCCACACCCTCAACCTCACCCACACCCACACCCACATTCACACCTACACCCACACCCTTTTATCTCATCCTTAAAAATGTTGACTTGCCTAAATATTAAAAGCACATTCTATAAGTTGTTCTCTTTATTTTTGGAATAGCATACAATAAATATCATAATATTCAGTTTATCAAACGATCGCACTACAGCACCGAGTCTTCATCTGTCGCAGCCTACTTGCAGTAGCAGATATCACCACCACGATGATCAGTAGCAGGATCAGGATTACCACGAGTAGCATAAGAACGATTACGAATATGAGGATCACGATAACCATAATTGCAAGTGGCACCATCACGACGTGCATAACCTGGTTCCTTGTTATCGCTACGATACCAATCAGAACATTTACCACATTTTGTACAAGCTAGACCGCCACAACGCAGTTTCTTTTGAGAAAGTGATTTACTTGCTTGCGCACTTTCTAAATGAAAATATGTGTTATTTATTAAAACTTAACAAGCATAATAAGACTGCTCACTGCTCTACTCAGAAACAGCATATTTTATGTATATATTCGTTTACAACTGGGTAACTGTGTTAGTGTGAAGATGAGATTGAAGTATACGATTTTAGCTACTAGAAATGGAAAATCACTAAAGTCGTTGAAGAGCTGTCATCAGCCGTTCTACTAGTGGGACAAAAAGATTTCATGCTCTTTTTTGTTCGAATGGATTTTTTAATCAATAACAAAGGACTTCTGAAGATTATGTAGAACAATAAATATTGTTTCATCGTGCAATTAATAGTTGATGATATTCAGTAAATCAAGTAAAATTTCTAGCAATCAAATGTTCACTTGTTTAACATCAACTCGAACCTTACTGTGGCTCATCTCTCGTTACTCTAAACAATCTCTACTATCTATGGCTTTGGTTTATTTCTGTTAGGAGGACAAGTTAACACAATCGACCACTAAGATCAGAGAAATAGTGTTATATAGTTGGTATAAAAACACAATAATTTATAAAATACTTAAATAGAGAAGTAAAAAATAAACAACATTGAATTGAGTAGTGAAGTCGGAACGACGAAAAATATATCAATAGATAGTCCGTCCACTTATAATTCTAATAGTAGATATTATCGATTTATATGTCGAAAACATTTTGATAAGAATGAAAGTACTCGATCTAGACTTTATTCGTTATTTGGATGAGCCATAGATTTAGCAATATATAGTATATATACTGCGCAACTTATTCTTGTTCTGTTTCGTGCAGTATGCAAAACGATTATTGAAGAGAAATAAATGTTAGACATGTATATTATTCTTAATCATTTTCTGATTTATATTCCAGATGATCAAATAAAGCCTCTTGTCAATTTTATTATCACCTCACGAACTATGACCTATATTCTCTGTATCTCGAGCCAATGTTTTTTGGAAAATATTATACTTAAAATTTATTCAAATTGGACGTCAGTAACATACCTTTTATTTTCGTTGATGCTTGTTGAACTTCAACTTCGGCAGCTTTTTCTTGTACATAGATTATACGATTCCACTGTATTCTTTCACTTTCTTCTTTATTAAGTTCAATTATAGTTCCTTGGGAAAGCTGAGTCACGTATACATTAAACTGATGAATCTTTTGTTTAAGTCTTGCTAGATTATGTTCAGCATAATCCTCAGTTTCTTTCAAATGTGTTAATTCTTCAGAGAAGCTTCTGAATTCATTTGTAGTTTTCGTAGCTTTTGAATTGATCAACTGCTTAGCCTGCTGACGCACCTGTTCAGCTGTTTGTTGCACTCTTTCAACTATAATCTTCTCCCATGCATTGATTTTTTCAATAAGTAGATCGTTTGCGTTGTTTTCTTTTGTTGGTTTGTTGAGTTCCTCTTGTAGTTTATTACGCTCTTCAACAAGTTCTTCCATCTTAGTAAATAATATTTCACGATGCCCTTTGAAATCCTTTGTGCAGAAGTAACTATCGCAACCTACGCAATGCATAATTCCTGTTGGCTTTTGACAAGTAGAACATTGATTTGATTTTGCCATTTCTATGAGTACATTACAACAGAATATCATATATGAATATTGACCAAAGGAAAGAATCTGCTTACCTAATGTATTATAATAGTGAAAAGAATGTGGTCGATATCGATGTTTTGAAATATATACGAAATAAAAGATTATAGATCTGAAATTGTCGGAATAAAGATAGAATATATGTTTTTATTTTTCACCAATATTAATAGTAGAAATTTTTTTAAATAATATCATTAGAAAACATATATCTTGTATTTAAAAATAATATCGCAGTAACATTGTTTAACATCGCGCAATGATAAAAAAAACTCCGGAAAGATAAAAGAAAATTTATCTTATAAGTCTAGGTTTGTTCGACAAGAAGAAATACTAGACTAAGTCCAACTAGTATTTTTTTTGAGTAAATCAATAATACTTACTTCTCTTCAAAAATAATTGTTACAGCAGATATTCTTTAACCTTAACTATTTGGATAATGTTTTGTAATTTTGTTTTTTCACTTTCATGTGAGAAAAGAAAGGAAAACTGAGTTTATATCTCTTTTACTATCAAGTAAGCAAAAGAAAAAACCAACATAAATTCATATTACCTTTAATAACCCTTATCAAAGAACAGAGGCATGTACGTCATTCTTTTTTTAGATAAAGCAATGGAAACGAAAGATATTTTTTTAAATGATGTTGAGATAACGAGTAGAAATGAAAAACATTGTATTACAATGTTGCAACATTGAGTCATGTAAAGTGACTAACTCATAGAGAATTTTTAACTAACTTCACGATGATTAATATGTCGTCAAGACAAATAAAAACAAAGTTACGTAATTTAAAATTTGATAGTCGAAGATGATGAACTACCTACATACAGAGTTTTAATGATAGTTATCCTTGAAAAATAAAAGCGATTGAATAATTTACAGTGTCTAGGAGTCTACTGTTCTTAGCAAATGTAAACTAGACAAGAAACAAACTGAAACGTTGCGCCACTTAGATTTTTCCGTATTAGTCATCAACCTTTATCAATAATTTCCGAAACTGATTTTATTTTTTCATAGATTAGACAAACAAGATTTCTCATGTGTTTTGTCTGCTGATACTAACTAAAACCAAATTACTTAAAGATTATGGCATTTACATTTTAGCAACATGTAGGTCTTGCAAAGGTTCTTTATCTTTGTTTTTTTACTTGACGATGTGAGTATTGAATTATCTCTGACACCGAGATCCATACCCACATCCACACTGTCTGAAAAAGGTGTGTATAACAGATAAAACAAAATAATCTCTCTTGTAATTAATATAAAGTCGATCTATAGTTTTATTTGATAGGAAGTAATAGCAATATTTGTCAAAGACAATTCATTAATCAAGCAAAAAAGAAAACAATACAATAGATTAGCATAATTGAAAGTCAATTATTAATAGAAAATCTCTAAGAAATTCTATTTGTTGGTAATCGATCTTCAGCAATCTAAAGAATATAATATAAATACAAAAATTTAGTATAATATATAATTACAGTAACTAACATGAAATACAACAGCCATGCCTCGATCAAGATGTGGTTCTGTGTGACAATGAAAGAGCCAAACACCCGGATTTTGTGCACGAAAACGTATTCTCATATACCTAAATATTTATATTTACTTATGTGTTTATATGTTAAAATTCAAAAAAAAATCTTTACCCTCCTTTAGGTAATTGTATTGTATCTTTGACTAGACGCATATTGTTTGTTATGCATGCTGCATTGGTTTGATTGCATATACAAACAGCATGTTCATTACATTGCACATTAGGATTATTCGCAATGAATTCTCCAATAGAAGTATTCAATTGAGCAAGACCTTGTTCAACAATATGAAAATAAGAACCATGTAAATGGAGTGGATGTTGATCATCATCATGATTAACAAGAAGTAATTCAATCGTATCATTATACTGAGCGACAATATTATGATAACATTTTTCACCTGATTCTGTATGTAACAATCGATTAGAGCAAGGAAGTAGTTCTCGAGCTAGTCGAGGATTGTTAAGAATGTGTTCTGTCATCGATGGATATTTCATACCAATATAATTGAATGATTCAAAACTAGATTGATCATGTTCAGCCATGGTCAATGATAATGTTTTTTTAATAGTCATAGGAGTCTTCTCATCGATTAGATTATAATCAATATAGTCTTCATGTGTAGTAATGTTTAATGGTGTCAAACAAATGAAAGGATTTCCTTGATTTGATTCATTTGGACCATACTGACTAAAAGGACAATTCAAAATACGACATGGTTGAAGTTCAGTACAGTGTTGTGGTTCAGTTGTTGGTATTTCATTCGTTGGTGCATATTGTAGTATCGCAAGACCATGCCATCTTGGATTATCATGTTTATCCATTGTATCAACACGAATCCAATAATTTATTTTGTTGTTTATTGTTGTTAAATTGTCAATTATAACATCATATCTTTCACCAAGACCGATGATCAATTGATCTACAATCATTGGTTGTGCAAATGGTATACCATAAGAAGCGATAACCTTCAATGGATGTTTATCGATAGAAAATTTCAAGGAGAATACACTTCCACCATTAATTAAACGAAGACGATATGTAGAAGTGTTTTGTTGAGAAGTCATTTTTAGACACTCAAATGGTGTCGTACTAAAACCTTTTGTTTCCTTTCGTGGATCAATATATCGACCGCGACCATTAATTAGAATTGAAGTAACAAAAGCTTCAGCAGCTCTTGAACCATCGACAGCTTCAAAAAAATCGATTGTACCTGATTGTGTCAATGATTCAAGATCATTCGGATAAAATTGACCACTTTCAATGAGTAAATGATGTTGTTCACTAGTATAAAAATGTTGCCAATCATTTAGAAGAAGAACAAATTCACCTTGTTCTTCTCTATCATCTATTGGCATTGGATGGACAATGAAACCACCCATAAGACCCATTGCTGTTTGTGATTGTACATGAGAATGATACCAAAAAGTACCTGCATCGGTTGCAATAAATTTATGTAGAAAACTTGAACCGGGTAAAATCGATAATTGTGTTAATCGACCAATGCCATCACTTTCTGGTGTATTCACTTGTCGTATCCCATGAAAATGAACACTTAATGACTCTGTTGGAAAGTCATTGAAAATCCGTACATAGACTATTTGGTTTTGATAAACGTGTAAAACAGGACCAGGGAAAGAGTTATTAAAAACATAAACCTAAAGAAAGATATCGACTTATAGCATATTTCAATAAAAAATAGATATGCGAGAAATACGCACCAGTTTTGGGTAACCATCACCTGTGAGAACATCTTCCATCGAGAATGTCTCGTTAGGATTATTATAACGATGCAATGTACCATCGTCTGTAGCGACAACACGAAACTGATTTTTATAGAACATAGTCATAGTTGCAGTAGCATGCAGCTCAAAAGAACATGATGGCATTGATGCTGTACATAAATCAGTACCTTTAAACGAATCAAATGATTCCAAGGCATAGATTTGTTTTTGAACAAATAGTAATAGAATTACAATGATATACATTGAGCTACCCATTGAAATATAGTGCAAAATTGATATATTATTCGTTATAAAAATGTTTGACACGACATAGAATGTCTTTTTATGTACATATGTAATTTATTGTTTCAAAAGATTAACAAATGATTTAACAGTGACATTTAATCTATAGTTTAGGCTTAATACGGAAGATCGAAAGAAAAGAAAAACAAAAGCCATAGTTTAACATCGTATAACAATACACCCATAACAAATATTTTCTGTCTCTATGACTCGAATTATGTGTTGCAGAGTTTGTTTCTTCTATAAAGAACGAGATTAAAATAAAGATAAATATGCTTTATTATACAGTCATCAAAATAATTATGATTTTTTACTGCTGGGAGTAATCTGTACACTTCTTTTTTGTTTATTATCATATAGGAAAAAACATATTATTGATGATATTCAAATCTTTGTTAAGTGCAGAGTCATATTGTACAAATGATATTCACTTCATACAGTGCTAGATGAAGATATTTTCTGATTAAGTTGTTAAAAACGTTTGCAATTATTTTGTTTCGAAACATTGTGATCAATGAATATTTTCGAAGATAAGATCGGCAGTCTTTCCATGCAACAGCTACGAAGTACCAAGCTGTATATCAATAACAAATGTTATTTTGGTAAATGTAATTGAGAACTCAAGAATTGCTGCATTTCTTTGTTGTGACAAATATAAAAGTCTAACATATGATCGATAAATATCATATTCTTATCTGTTCTAGAATTCATCAACTATTCTTATTTTATTAGTTTTTGAACACTTTTCATCGTTTCATCTAACAACACTAAAGTCACACGACTTCTATTATACATATCCCTATCGATTTGAAAGCTATTGCATCACTACAGAAACGGTAACTACAGACTGACGATTTGAGTTTCTTTCCCGAACCTATGCTGATGAAAAAAAGTTTATAAATACTTACTTGACATCAATGGTCATACGCTATGCTTTTGCGTTTTGTAAGTAATGCGAATTATTACAATGAAATGTTATTAATAAGCTAATTTTTATCTCTTCCTTACAAATGTTGACTGGTCTAAATATTACAACCTCTCTCTATAAATTGTCGTCTTTATTTTTAGAATAGCACACAATAAATATGATAATATTCCGTTTATCAAATGATCGCACTAGAGGCCCGAGTCTTCATCTACCATAGCCTAATTACACTTGCAGACAGCATCCTCTACATCTGTTTATCTCTGTTGGAAGAAAAGAATATTTGTTACCTAAATAGTCGACAATCTCATCACCAATGAATACTTTTCAGGAGAGTTCTATTCATTTGCTTTGCTAATGATAAAGTTAAGCGCATTACTTAGTCAAATAACCCACAAATCACATGACAAATCAATACTTTTTAGGAGAGTTCTGTTCATTAGTTTTGCTAATGATAAAGCTAAGCGCATTACTTCGTCAACTAATCCACAAATCACATGATAAATGAATATTTTACATTAGGGTTCTGTTCATTTGTTTTGCTGATGATAAAGTGAAGAATCTTAGTTAGTTAAATAATCCATAAATCACATGACAAATAATTACTTTTCAATATAGTTTTGTTCATTTATTTTGCTGATGGCAAAGTGAAGACAACTAGTTAGTCAAATAACTCGCAAACTACATGATACATGATTACTTTTCATGATAGTTCTGTTCATTTATTTCGTTGATGATAAAGTGAAGAGAATTAGCTAGCCAAATAATATAAATATCACATGACAAGTGAATATTTCACAGTAGAGTTCTGTTCATTTGTTTTGCTGATGATAAAGTGAAGAGAACTAATTAGTCAAATAATTCACTAATCACATGACAAATGAATACTTTCCAGTAGAGTTTTGTTGATTTGTTTCGCTGATGGTAAAGTCAAGAATGTTAGTTGGACAAATAATCCACAAATTGCATGAGCAACGAATACTTTCCACCATAGTTCTGTTCACTTGTTTTGCTGATGACAAAGTGAAGGAAATTAGTTAGTCAAATAATCCATAAATCACATGACAAGTGAATATTTCACAGTAGAGTTCTTTTCATTTGTTTAGTTGATGATTAACTGAAGACAATCAGTTAGTCAAATAATCCACAAATCACATGGCAAATGAACAATTTTCACTATCGTTCTGTTCATATGTCTTGTTGATTATAAGGCGAAGAACATCAATTAGGTAAATAGTTCATAACTCACATGAAAAATAAATACTGTTTATAAGAGTTCTGTTCAGTTGCTTTATTCATTTCAAACACAGAACAGCAGCATAGTCAGTTAATAAAAGTACAAATACTAAATGAACGCTTCGAACGACAAGTGGCATGCTCTTGACCACTAATCTACTGAACTTCTTCCTGTTAATGATCTGTTGCTACGATCATGTATGATCACACAGAAAATAAACAATTTTCACCATAGTTATATTCAATAATTCTTCTATCTCTAAAGTAATAATCGTAGTATGACAACCAATAGAAATTATAGAACAAATGAATACCTTATACTATTACATTGCATACTTACCTTTTTCTATTTGAATATATAATTTCGATATGTACTGCAAGTTCAAAATGATATGAATCATGAATGAATTTAACGATAATTCTATTCAGTTTCGTCATTTATTTTAATTGTAATAATATAAAATGCATCAAGTCATATTCGATTGCGCATTAGATGAATAATCATAACGTAAGCTTTGTTATTAATTTATGTTTCCTTGAATGAAAGGCAATCAACAGTTTATATTAGCGAATATGACAGAACAGATGAATAGGAAGTACATCACCATTTTGTTTTTAATTTTTATTCTTTTGCATTGAAACCTAGGATCTGATATAATATACAAACCGTATGACAAATGAACACACATAACTCCACGTACAATTCTGTTCTTATATTCTCGTCTCTTAAATGACTTATTGCATGTTAGTTAATCGATTACAAGCTGATGATGAGATAAATGTATATTCTTGATCATAGTCACGATTACAACCAACTATCTTACTTATTTTACAACGAAAATTGCAAATACACTCAGTACTCCAGTGCGGTATAAATAATGAATATTTTTAACAATAAACTTGTTCATCATTATGTTGTTATTTTGAAACATATTTGTAGTCGATATATCAATAAAAATAGTATGAAGTTGATGAATAATTACTTTCCAATAGACATATGCATCTATCTTACTCATAGAAGTCGTAAAAATTCTATTTTCACTATTCGTAGAAGGCGACATATTAAATAAATATCGCAGATCAACAGATTGTTCATATATTTAGTTACCTTAAATCAGAAATGCCAATTTGATGCACTATATCAAATATTACATCTGACATAAATAATGATAAGAACATTTACCACGGCTTTGTACAACTAATACTTTCTATTTTGTATCAGCAACATAAAATAAAATGTATAACTGGAAGTTTGATGTAATATGAATGATCTGTACATCGTGCACAAGCTCGACCTTCAACATTATATTCATTTATTTACTTCATTACAAACAAAATATAACACAATGATATCTCGAAATAAGATGGCGTATAGAATGAATGATAATAACAAGCATTTCAATCATTTATTCATTTATGCATCAATACAGCTATGAATACAGTAAATTCATCGCAGATCAGTTGTCTAATAAATAATTCTTAAAAAGTTTATTTTGAGGAAGTGGTTTAGTTGCTTGTGGACTTTCTAAATGAAAATATGTATTATTTATTAAAA